CTCTCTCTCTCTCTCTCTCTGTCTCTCTCTCTTTTTCATTTACAGAAGCTTAGCTGCACTTTGGTGTCGCTGGCACAGCTTAAAGGCACATGGAGAAATGAAAACTCAGGACAGGAAGCTGGACGACACCGCTGGGTGGGAGGGCTCCAACCCGCCCACTGTTTTGTCCTCACATATGAGAATATTTGACACAGACCTTCTAGGTGCTGTGATAAGTCATGTGGCTCTAGGGTTCTTTTAAAGCTTGATTAACTGATTTTATTGTCTTTGTTCCTTTTCTTATATCACCTCAAATCCTTTTCAGAAATAGGCATGAAGAGTAAGTTAACGGTGAATGTCTACAGGATTAACCTTTTTAAATTACTGGATATTTTAATTAAGAAATCTCGGTGATGCGAATTAAAGGGACATATTAAAAATACAATTGTAAATGTAAAGCAATGATACATTCAAAGCTAAGAACTGTATAATAAAAATTCCTTCTTCACAGACATCAGGAAAATTCAACTAAGCAGAAAAGCGTAAAATATGCTCACACATTTTTCGATTTCAAATCTCTGAACAGAAAGAACGAGAAAGAGGCTCTAACTTGGCCTTCATGTTCCGACTGCCTTTTGCTGCTGGGAGGGTGTTCAGCATCAGCATGTTGGACACTCTTCTTTACCAGGTAGGCGGGATTTCTTTTTTCTCTCTAAAACGCCTGTTTTAGATTTCATTAAATAAATAACGTATCTAATGTTTCCCATGGAGCTGTTAACTCAAAACTGGCTCTGGAAGTAATTCGGTGTTTCATTTCAAGTGTTTAGTGACATAAATATGCCTATGAGATGTGTTGTAAGAAAAACATTATTTTTCAGAATCATGGAGGAAATAATTTTTAGGCATTCTGTGGCACCAGTGTCCTACAATGTTATTGTGACATTTTAATATGTGTTGCATATTTATATCACTAAATTACTAGGCTGCATTACTAAATTACTAGACTATATTACTAGAATAAAAAATGCTAAGAAAAATTTACTAAATAAAAAAATCTGCCTCTTCCATAATATGCACTTTTTCAAATAAGATGTGAAATCGACCCCAATAAATTGATAAACCATGGGCATTTTAAACACCTATTAATTATTGCCTATTTTAGAAAAAAATATATAAATGATTTTACGATAACTAAGAACCAGTTAGTTTCTTCTGGAATGACCAAGTTAACATTGTCATTTTTATCAGAGCTAAGACATTCGTGGAGATGTTATTTTACACAAATATATTTTAAGATTGTTTAACTCTGTCATACACTGAATAGCAGTAATATTTCATATTCTCTGATCCAAGTCATCGGACGATTTCTAAATATTTCCATAAAGAGAAAGTTATTCAGAGGGCTGTAAATTATTTGGTAACTTTCATCTCAAATTAAGCCTTCACACATTTTGTTGTGCTTATCTACTTTCTGATTATATGGTTTATAATATGTGCCCTCTTCTGCTATGCTTGGCTGCATAAACTAATCCAAGAATAGTTAAAGCTTTTCTAACTGTCTTAGGGCTGAACATGCGCATCAGTGTGTCTCTGGAAACGACACATGTCACGAGCCATCTGCTTCTGCCAGATGAGGGCAAGAACAAACCCCGCACAGGGAGCAATACTCCTGCCCACCCTCGAGTTTTAAGATGCATTAGGTGGGCACTGCAGGGGCCAGGCTCCCACCCTAAACACCACTACCCTGCACACAATTCTGGTCGTTAGAGGCAGGATTGGAGGACAGAAAAAACAGCGACTTCTTTCTCTTCATTTTTATCTCCCATTTTTTGTTATCAGTAAAATACAAGAAGTTCTGTTTTATCTACAGCTATTGCAGAAACAGTGAACTAGAAAGATAATTTTCAGAGCAGTAACTGCTTATTTACTTTCTCTTGATATCAAGTGAGATACACTGCTTGTCCATTTTTCAGATGGGTAAAGAGTACTCATTCATGGGTTAAAAAAGGTATTAGAAATTATACATAGTAAGCATTCTTGTGTTTTTAAAATATACTATATGCCATCTAATTATTTTGGTTAATGATCTAAGCCCATCTTCTTAAGGATAAATGTTTTTATTATATATTTGAGAAATATTATGAATGATACAATTGTGTAGTGATTTACTATTAATATAATTCTATCCTCGACATCAGTGGGTTTGCTTCCCCAAGGCAACATATGATATAGGCAGTATGACCACTCTCTATATGTATATGAGACACAGGCTCAGAGACAGAACCTACCCAATGGTAAGTGTGAATTCTCATCTCCAGGTCATGGCCACCTGATTAGATTACTCCCGACCATGACCTGTGATAAATGACCCCACCCTCTGGAATATCTGAGTTTCTTATGGTACTTTTTTAAATTATTTTTTCTTAACTTATTGGAAGATTGTTTTCTTTTGTTACATAATCTCAATATTCTCTTTTCTCCTTCCCACTAGAAACACAGATCACTTTTATATATTTAATAATTTTTATTGATTACTCTTTTTATAAAGCTGGAAAACCAATTATTAAAAAATAAGTATTATCTGAAATAAAACGAAACAGTTCATAAGCAAAACTGAAAAGGTTCTTCTATGACTGAATTATGTGAGATTTCACGCATGGATTTGGTGACATCGAGGGAGTCTGGGCACATGTTTTTGGCTCTCCTACCTCTTGTCCACACTCTGATGAGCTACAAAACAAATGACCTCTGAACAAGGAATGTGTTGGTGACATTACAGTACACAAATCAGCTATAGTACCACATCTGACTCTAAAATAATTATAATAGTTATTTGCCAAATCTTCAGTTGACTTTCTCTTTCATGAGTACTTTCTATACTTCATTTTGAAAGATAATAGTCTTCAGTGCCTGAGAATTTGTTTAAAATCCCTCCTCCATAGCACACCCTGAGTTACAAATGAAGTTAAGTAATATTCTCTAAAGGTGCATGTCACAACTTTTCTTGGTGGCCCCCCTATATGTTCATGTTCAAACTACTAGGAGACTAATATATTTTGAAAACCAAAATGCCGTTACTTTTGTCTGACTAAAGAGAAAGGGTGTGTTTCTTATGTTCTCCTCTACAATAGATGCAAGGGTATAGTTTTCTGATAATAGCTGTTGGTAACATAAACTAGTAAGGGAGTAGTCTAGACGTATTTAAATAGCATTATAACTTTTTTAAAAGTCTGCCAAGCAAAATAACTAGATGATTATTTACATTTTTCACTTTTTAACACTTGAAGATTGAGCCAAAGACAGTCATTTCACACAATTTATTAAATAATGTTATGGTAAAATGTGCTTGTATTGCTTGAAAGTTTTTCTTTTCACTCCGAGCTAAGAATAAATTGAAGAAATTGGGAGTGTCATTAACACTCTAACTAATGAGAAGTGTTTTAGCAACATATCAAAGTATAGCTCATATATTAGCACATAAAATAGTCTAATAATGATATTTAATACTAAACTATTAATTCATTAATATTTAGATTTACTTAAATATTAGAAATTTATTCTACCAGCAATAGAGCTTAAGTTCTTTCAAGTCTTTATGATATTCTCTATTTTACACCAGCCCATATTTTTTCTTTATTAAAACCTAAAAATGTGTTTATCGTGTCTAGGAGCATGCATAAAATGTAAGCAGATCAGGATATTCTAGAGAATAATTACCTCCCATATCTCCTATGGACAGTTTAACTGTACGTGTGCATTTAGGATACTGACAAGACAAATTTTTATTTCCTTTTTTATGGAGGTTTAATGATGTGTTATGAGCAAGAACCTTTTAGAGGTGATACGGTATTCACACCCCTAGCTATTCTACACATTTCAGACGCGTAAGTAGATGTTTTGTTTATATTGCAGTCATTTGTGAAGGATTATATGATTTCTATCACCAGACTGCTGCTGGGATTGGATACCACCCCAGGATCGGGGTTCCTCTGCTCTGTAAGTGAGGAGTTCCTGGGATAGACGATTGCTCTCATAGTCTAAAATCCACCTTAAAGTCCTTCGGCTAACTCTCCTATGTCACTCTCCCTACTCCCCTACCCCCTTCAATGTGCTCAAAGAATAGCATCATGGTTTTTTAATTCTTAAAAAATGTTCAAGGGAAAACATTACTGTAAATTAATAATCATGATAAGTAGACATTCTGCACAAACTTCAGAATGGGCGTTGCTGTTTCTTTTTGTAGCTGGCAGTTTGAAGCTGATGGTGTCAGACACAGGAGGCCATGTAGCCGAGAAAAGCAGTGGTCATGCAGCTCAGCCTTGTTTTATAAATGGGTGCACTGTGACTAAGTCTGTTTAAGGACGTGACCTGCCAACAATTAGGCATAGAGAAAAGGGACTAGCACGTACGCCTCCTGTCTGTGAGCCTGTGCTCATCCCGCTCACATCTTTCTCTAGACCTCAAGACAGAAAATTCTTTTCTGTGCTGGAGTGTCCTTCGTGCTTTAAGATTTTTAGCATCGGCAGAGCCTGTCCACTAAACACCAGTAACTGCCTCTAGTTATTACAACATTCAAAAAAGCATCTCCCAGTCAATTACTGGTGACTACTGCCTCCTGACATTGAACTAATACAATGTCATGCTGCCACAAATGGAGTAGTTGGTTTCTTTGGTTTGGGTGAACCCCAGGGGTGCGGCTGAGATGCATGCAATAAATAAGTTTAATACATGGATAAGTACTTATGGCAGGACACTCACTTGGAGATTTGAAAATATCAATAAATTCTACCTTTAAGAAGTGAAAAATAACCACTGGGTTTTTATTTCCTAAAAAGATAATATGTAATAATTCATATGGATTCCAGATGAGAATCACGGAGGATGACTTATGGATCAGAACGTACGCCCGACTTTATCAGAAGCTGTGCTCTTCTAGCGGAGATGTTCCCATTGGGATCTACAGGACAGAATCTCAGAAACTTACGACATCTGAGGTTTGCAACTATCAACCTTTTCTTTTTAATGTTTCATTTGAAAGAATGCAGCCATTCCCAATCTTGGAAACAGATGTCTGAAAAATGTCACAGAAACAAAAATAATGCTGTCTGAGCACACAATGACAGTTTTCAGGAAAAACACCAAAAACAACTTACCAACTACTTGTCTAGTCAACTATGCCAGAATTTCTCAAAATATTGTGGGCTGAGGGTTTGTGGATTTGGGGCTCTGAGTGCCTTCCATAGATCTCAGATTTTTCATTTTTAGAAGACTGTCAGGAAGCAACTGAATCCTCAGTAACCTTGTGATGCATTAGGAAAGTCCTCAAGGCAAGCAAGCTAGCATTCTAACATTGTCCTCGGCTCCCTGTGACTCGCACCGGGAAGCAACAAAAACAATGATACGTCAGTAAGTACTGAAATTCACACTTTCCAAACTCTAGATCAACGGTTCTCAACCTTCCTAATGCCGCGACCCCTTAATACAGTTCCTCATGTTGTGGTGACCCCAAATGTAAAATTATTTTTGTTGCTACTCTATAACTGTAATTTTGCTACTGTTATGAATTGTAATGTAAATATCTTTTTGTTTTCCGATGGTCTTAGGCGACCCCTGTGAAAGGGTGGTTTGACCCCCAAAGGAGTCGTGACCCACAGGTTGAGAACCGCTGCTCTAAATTATGGACTGAACCTCAAGTAGCAGTGCTTGACCTTCTCAGAAGAAAGCTCAGTAATTTAAAAAGCAAATTAGAGTCTGTTAATATGGAGCACAATTTCTGATGGCTGCATGCAGCTGCAAACATGTCTACAGTTTGATGTGGTCACATTACATGGTTCTAAATAGTTTTTATATGCTAATAAACCACCACATTTTAAATTAGACTCTTTTATGCAATAAAAAATTTGGATAAATGCACTATCCTATCTGTATTTATAAAATTATGTAATATAAATGATGGTTTATATTCTTGAAATATTTTTTCTTCTCAGATACTTCAAAATTATTTGAAATTTTGGTTAACCATTTCTTTTTCTGGTTTTACACAATATTAGCTCAACAGTAAGGCTCAGATCAGTTATATGCACTTTAGCAGTTCACGTAATCATTAAGCCAATTTGTGATAAAATTGAAGAATCCTTGTCTAGAAAAAAAGAACTTTCTAGGAAGCATAAGGGTAATGGAGTAGATTTTTGTGGGAGTATTTTTTGGTTAAAATTTATAGTTTGACATTTAAATAAGTGATGATTTTTTTTTAAGATTTTTATTGGGGAATTGAGGGGATGAGAACAGTGCTGGGGAATTGGGGGAAGGGGAACAGACAAGTTGCTGTCGTTTTGTTCTTCAGTCTAGTTGTGGAGGACGTTGCTTCATTGGCCCAGGTTGGCACCATCATTGCGCTCTTCCCGGGCGAGGCAGATCAGTTGCCGGCTTCTGGACGGCCGCTCACTGCGGCTGCTGGCCGCTCACGCTGGCTGCTGGCTACACACGGTAGCCCATGGCAACCCACTGCCACAGGGGCTGCAGCCTACGCTGTCGCCGGCGACTCACGGCAGCCCAGCTCCAGGTTGAGCTGTTGTTCAGCATCTTAGCTGTGGAGGGCAGTGTCACTGGCCCTCATATGTGGGATCTGAACCGGGGCCCTCTGGCGTCCCAAGCCAGTTCTTAAGCATCGCGCCACTCGGCCGGCCCTGATTTTTTTTTTTTTAAAGATTTTTATTGGGGAATTGGGGAAGGGGAACAGACAAATTGCTGTCCTTTTGTACTTCAGTCTAGTTGTGGAGGACGTCGCTTCATTGGCCCATGTTGGTATTATCATTGCGCTCTTCCTGGGTGAGGCAGATCGGTCGCTAGCCATTGGATGGCCACTCACGGTGGTTCATGGCAGCTCACGGCAGCCCCACTGCAGCCTACGCCGTCCCCTGTGACTCACAGCAGCCCAGCTCCAGGCCGAGCTGTTGTTCACCATCTTAGCTGTAGAGGGCACAGCGTCACTAGCCCTCCTGTGGGATCCGAACCGGGGCCCTGCTGCTCAGAGCTGGCATCCCAAGCCAGCTCCTAACCAATGCGCCACTCAGCCAGCCCTAAATAAGTGATTTTGAGGTCAGCAGGAAATAGTGGAGTTTTTCTGAGGTGCTTTTTGGTGGTTTTACAGTAGCTGCAGGAGGTCTCTCAGGAGCATAATTTATTGGCCTCTCTGCTGCTGAATCAGAGCTTCTCATTGGCTGTGGTCTCTGTGGTTCACATCACAAAAAGCTAGACCAAATTACAGACAATCAGGAATGACTGGCAGGAGAAAATACCAGACAGTTACATGCATAAGACAGATAGGTCAGATATGCCTAAAATTTTAAGAATACTGGATTGGAAAACTTATTATCTGGTTAAAGGTTAAGAGAAGACAAGCTCTTTTACACCTAGGCAATCAACCATTTCACATTTGACTTGGTCAAATACAAAGGTTTCCATCCAGCAGAGTATTATCATGGTCTCATCTTATATACGGGCTGTGTGAATTTGAATGTTGTGAATGCTGCCCCCGGTAGAGTTCATATCCATGTCAGACATTTTGTTTTATTATGGAACTTTGCTGTATGCTGTTCACAGTATAGGTAGGGGATGGATAATTGAGCATCTGTATTGCCATCAAGGAGCATTTAACGTTACCTTTTGGTCAACTCTTTCCATCACAACTAAAGATCACCTCAGTAAAATGTTTATACATCCCCAAAACTCTAGCTGATATGAAAAACGTAAATCCTTGGGCAGATAAAAGCGAACTGGGTTAAATAAGCATGACAACTCCTGTCTTCCTGTATTGAACTCAGTTCGTCTTTTGGCACATATATTTTTATTTAAGATTTACATCCTGCTTATGCCTATCATAGAAAAAATGAGACAATTTAAATAATTAAAGATAAAAATAGGACCATCGAGCACTTTTATAACACAGAGTTCAGGGTGAATTATTGGTAAGTATATGCCTAGTTTCCCAATTAACAAAATAAGACAGTTTCGACTCTAGGAATATGGCACAAACACCACCACCAAGAAAATTACACAGAAATGATGACGAGTAGTCATGTTTCCCATCAGCTCATCTATACACTGTACCTCGTCACAATATGCCCTGAATTTTGATCTGACCAAAATTACACTGGAAGAACTTTGAAAAGGTGGGAGATGGCAAAGGTAGTGGAATAGGTAAAAGACTGTTAATTCCTCTTCTTCCAGAGTAAGGAATTAATAGATAAAAGTAGGAACTGAAAAAAAAAACCTATCAGGCATGTTATATAGAATTGGAGAGAGCTACACACCAACCACATCCAGCTCAAAGACGTGGCTGCAGATGTGTGCCATAACTGATAAAAACAACAACGAATAGATTTATACCCCAAGTTGTGATAGTAGGAATATTCATTGATCACTTCTGTAGTTTAACCTTCCAAGTGTTACATTCCATCCTATGCTATGTGGAATTAATAACTAATGCTGACATTTCATATAAGAACGTAGTAGGAATAGGTGACTATAAAGACTCTAGGCCTTCCTTCCTTGTTACCTCACAAAGTGAAAAAAACTACATATTTAAGGCAGATGCAGATTTTTATGCCATATCCTTTATGGTCTGTCTTCGCTAACTCCCCATATTCTATGTAGAGAAAAACAAAGTTATATCACTGCTTTGGCTGTGGGAGTAGAAGAAACACTGACTGCATTAGCAGACATCTTTGAGAAGACAAACAATGACAAGGAATATTCATAATTAAAATTATAATATGCGTAAGAGACCTGGGATACAACCTTGGGTTTTCCTGGTGGGCTACATATCGGTGGAAGGAGGATTTATTTAAACACAGACAGGGAGTCAAGTGGGGGTACACACAGCGGCTGGCAAACCAATCCATGGAAAGTGAGGTACAGCTGGGTCTGGCCCTTCTCAGCTGCCGGAAGAGCTTCTACCACCAACTAGACGTGTCCAGTTAAGGGAATTGTTATAAACATCAGAATCTCCTGGTCCAAAAAAACAAGAACAGGGTGGAAAAACAGGGTGGACAATGACTCACGCTTCTCTTGGTGACAAAGAATGACATTTCTGTCCACATCCTTTAACTACAATTCTGATATTTTAAAAGCTCACTATGCTCATTTGGTGGCAAAACCTTCCTTGAATGGTCATGAGATTATTTATATTTACTATTCCAATTAAAGTAAATATTCATACTTTTCGTTGAGGGAATAATTTTTTTGCTATAAAATGTTACCGAAGGCCTACTTGAGGTATAACCTACCATACAGTATATGATATGTACTATCTTTCCAAAATCTTAAAAATGATGAATTAGTAAATGTATTTGTCCCTTTGGGTTTAGTTTTTCTTTTTTTTTTTTGGGCAGGGGAGGTAAAAAATGTAGAACTGTCCTTGGCTCCAGTTTTCCAGTATACTAATATACACTTGCTTGAAGTATATTACGGCCAGTGAAAATTTTACTAGAAATTAGAAAGATATCATTTTAAGGCATATTAACTTACCAACATCTTTACAATGTACACAATAAATTTGTGGAATGTTAGTCTGATGGTTGGTCACTTTCATAGTCAATAAATCCTGTAACTTTTAAAAATGTGCCTAATGGAGTATCATTGGCTGCCCCATCTATCAATCATTAGGTCTTTACTATTAAACTGGGATGTAATATTTTAAATGTTATTAATATAAAAGTTTACCTTTTAGAAAATTGCATTAAAATTTTTTAAATAAGGATTAAGACAGAATAGTTTTTAAACTCTAGCTGTCCATTCTCTGCTGTTACTCACACAAACAACGTTTATTCCATTGGGTGGTGTGCTAAAATCCTGAGATAAACAGTTTTAAAAAGCCTATAATCAAATGTTTATTATGCAATTTTTACATTTGTAACAATAGTTAGAATGCTAGATGAGCTAGACCTGAGTTACCCCAAAGAATATAACTGAAAATTTTACTTCTACCTATTGA